AAAGTCAAAATTAAATGGCCTGATTGAATTGGCTAGTTTTAGAAAGGCTTTTAAAGAGTATTTGAAATAGGAGTTCAAATGCTGCTCTGTTTGAAAGATATTTTTAGAACGTTTTATCTTAACTGAAATTAAGAAAAGCTTTAAGAAATTTAGTGATTCACTTATTTGAAATTATTGTTACAAATTGAAAGTATTCTTTATTATATTAAAAAAAAAAATGTTCCGCAAATTTTAAGAAACCCCAGTAAGTACAAGTTAAAGTTTAAGTTACAGTGGCGGCCTCATAGGAGGGTCGTCACATAGGGTCAGACCGGGCTAGCCCAATTAAAACTACATGCCGGGCCGGGCCGGTCCTACTTCTTTTCGGGCCGTTGGGCCCGGGCGGGCCGTCCAGACGACCTGAATTTTCAGCTCTAGCTAAATGATAAAAAAAATATTGAAGAAAAGAAAATCGTTGAACTTTCTATTGAACATTAAGTGGACGTTTGGTTAATGGATTCAGAATCATGATTCAGAATTATTCTTGTTTTATGCATATTTTTTATAAAAAAAAATATTATAAAAAATTATGAATTATGATTCAAAATTAGAGACGAATACAAAAAATAAACATTCTCTAATTAAAAATATGTTAATTGAAAATGAAACGGAAAACAACCGCCTCCTAAACATGAAATTCCAAAATTATAGAACAAAATTAGAAGTACCCGCCAATTCCAAAATTGACAAATGTGAATGTGAGATTGCTAAAATGCGCCATAATGGAAGAATCCTATTCGTATATAAATGGTGCCGCGGATCGCGATCCGCATGTGTCACTCGAAATGATTCTCCGCCGTCGATCCAGACATAATCAACGCTTGAGATTCAATTTTCCAAACATAGAAAAACTTCCACTCCCGCTCTCTCCTTGTCGCCACCATATAAAAATCCAGACAATTGCTTCACTTTCAAATCATTTTCCTTCATTTTTCAGAGAAACAAACACAAAATCCGCTCTTTCCACAAATCTATTCTTTCTTCAAAATGGCACGTACCAAGCAGACCGCTCGGAAATCCACCGGAGGAAAGGCGCCGAGGAAGCAGCTGGCGACGAAGGCAGCGAGGAAGTCGGCTCCGGCGACCGGAGGAGTGAAGAAGCCTCACCGGTTCAGGCCTGGAACGGTGGCTCTGAGAGAGATCAGGAAGTACCAGAAGAGCACTGAGCTTTTGATCCGGAAACTTCCATTCCAGAGGCTGGTGAGAGAAATCGCACAGGACTTCAAGACCGATCTCCGATTCCAGAGCAGCGCCGTCGCCGCTCTTCAGGAGGCTGCCGAGGCTTACTTGGTCGGTCTCTTTGAGGACACCAATCTCTGCGCGATCCACGCCAAGAGAGTGACGATCATGCCCAAGGATATCCAGCTCGCTCGCAGGATTAGGGGCGAAAGGGCTTAGATTTGCGGAAAAAACTAAAATGATATTCCAAGTATTGTTTTCTTATCCTCTTTTGTAATTTTCCATCTTTTGCTTGGTGGAATCAAAAATTTTTTTTTTTTTGAGGTTTCATTATGTAAAATCTCGTGGAAATCTAATGTCTCATTCGGTTAATTTTTGTTTCTGTTGTTTTTGTCGTACTTTCCCTATCTATTGTTTAGCCAAATCCGCCAATTATTATACTCCATAATTGTTTATTGTCGATTATAAAAAGATTGGAATTGAAAAAAAAAATTCCATTTTGGACTTTCAGAATTAAAATTGTGGTCATTGATATGGCGCATATAAAATTGTATTATGTTGACGATTTGATGGTTAGATTATGAATTATTCTACAGAGAAATTTACTACTTACAACGTCTGAATCCTATAAAGCCATTACTAATCCGATGAAAAAACATCAAGGAACCTTTTATTGATATTCAAATCAGAATACAAGAACAAGTTTGTCAGTAATTCTCTCTCTCTAACCCCAGAGTAAACCCAAAATACAACCTTGAGAAAACTCGATCTCTGATTTTGCAAATTGCGCACGCAGCATTCTTAGAACATGAAAGTTAAATGTCTCCTAACTAAAACAAAAAATGACTCCTATTTATAACAGATTCAATCAGTAATTGAATCTTGTACAACTACCAATATACCCTTCAAACAGCTAACTCCAATGTTAAACCACTTGCTGTGTTGACTAAAGAAACTCAAGACCAATGACCGTGTGCCACCTGGACTTACAAGGAGGGATCTGGGGTAAACGATACTGCAAGAGTCCCTTCATGCATCTGTGTGACTTCCTTCATGGTGGGTCTCAGAGATGGATCCTCTTGAATGCACCATATTGCAATCATCACATTCTTCTCCACCCTTTCAATGTCATCCATTGCCTCATCATCATTCTCCACCAAAAGATGTAGTTTCTTCTCTGCGTAACAATCAAAAATCCCAATCCGCCAGTACCATCCGATTTTGATCTTCTTCTTCTGCTTCAAAGTTTTTCCTGCCTGCCACAAACAAGCTCCAACAACACAATGCCGTAGCTATAAACATCAACGTTAGGCAATGTCCCTGAACCATTCGGGCGCTACATACCCTTTGGTTCCTCTCATTGCAGTCGTGGTTTGAGTCCTTTCAATCTTCAATGTCTTTGCCAATCTGAAATCAGAAATTCTTGCGGTAAAAGATTCATTTAAGAGGATGTTTTGGGGCTTAATATCACAGTGTATGATTATGTTGCTGCATTCTTCATGTAAACACAAGAGCCCTCTTGCTGTTCCTAAGGCAATTTGCATTCTTTGGTTCCAATTCAGCTTTGAGTCAACAAAGAGGACGTTTTCATGAATTTGTCGACCAAAAGCCGGTGCTGGCCTCATTGCAGTATCCAAGTAGCTGGACCACGTTTCTGTGATTTGTACGGCCAATTGCATTTACTTCAGCTTGAAATTCCGCATCATTTTCCGTTACCATATTGTCCAATCATTTTCGTTGTTGTCGTTTTCTAAATTGGTTTTGTTGTCGTTTGCAGTTTAATCCTACCTAGTTCTCGTTTTCTGTTTGGCCTTCTTTAAAATAGCTTTTTATGACACCAGGGAATTATTTTCATTTATTTATGATTCTTAACGGTTTTGTGACAGTTATGATATTTTTATGCCAAATTAAGGTTTCATTACCTATTTAGATAACATTACTTCAACAAAGAACATGCAAAACCAATTGGCCAACCTTTTAGAGGCACAATTACAATCATCTGTAATAGTATTGACTTTGGGACTTGAACTGATGAAGATTAACACATTAAGAAGAACAACAAAACCAAAAAAAAAATGAAGAGTACCTTGAACAAGAACAAATTACTTGATTACTTGCGCTAAAAAAATGAAGTTTTAGGCTTCAGTTGATCACAGAAGTAGACAAGCAATGAGTTGGGGGAGCTGAAACTTGAACTATTCCTTCAAGCATCAACATGACCTTTTTCATGGTGGGTCTCACAGAAGGGTCTTCTTGGAGGCACCAAATCGCAACCATCACGAACCTCTCCACCATTTTTATATCACTCATCACCTCCATATCATTCTCAACCAACTTTTCCAATCTTCCATCCACATAACAGTCATAAGCCCAATCCGTTAAGATGACTTTCTCTTCTTCATTATCATTCATGTCAAGTACATTTCTTCGACAACAAATGATCTCAAGCAACAACACGCCGAAGCTGTACACATCAACCTTCACCGAGACAGGCGCCGACCTAAACCAATCAGGCGCGACATACCCTTTTGTTCCTCTGATGTTTGTTTTGGTATGACTTTGGTTTAGGGCTAGAAGCTTTGCCAATCCAAAGTCGGAGATTCTAGCATTGTAGTAATCATCAAGGAGAACGTTTTGAGGCTTGATGTCGCAGTGGATGATTTGGGTGGTGCATTCCTCGTGCAAGTAAACAAGTCCTCTGGCGATCCCAAAGGCTATTTGAACCCTTTGGTACCAACTTGGCCTAAGACCCCCAAACAGGAAGCTTGCCAATGAGCCATTTCGCATGAATTCATACACGAGCAACCTGTGTTGCTGCTCATCACAATACCCAGTTAGTCTTACAAGATTCTTGTGATGAGTTTGGCCTATCACATTCACTTCTGCTTGGAATTCTTTGTCATTGTCTTGAAACATTCTATCTAGTATCTTGACAGCAATAGGACTGGATTGATCAGTTTCCCCCTTGTAGACTACGCCGCAAGACCCCCTTCCCGACTCCTCTCTGAACCCGTTTGTCGCCTCCACAAGCTCTTTGTAGGTAAAATGGCGCAAGTTACTCTTGACATGACTTTCATTTGGATAGACAAAGTACTTCCTCTTGGAGTAGAAGAAGAAAGCCAAACACATTACACTCACCAATAAAAAATTGACAAATACTGAACTTCCTAAGAGTACGGATATCACAATCACCAAAGTGTGGTCCTCCTCTTCTTTATTTGAACCTGGAAGATCAGGTTTGTTTCCCGATCTGGAATCATTACTGAATTTGAAGAAAACTGTGGTGCTGAGTGTTCTTACCTCTCGTCCGTTCGAAAGTGGCAGCTTCTTCTTCCAACAGCTATCTTCCTCAGAATTGTAAACCACCACAGCAGAAAGACAATCTTGCAAGCAAGATTTCTTGCAGTCCTCAACACTGTAAGGCTTAAAGAGCTCATAATCAGAAGTTGGCCAATCAGTATTTGGCAATGGTCGCAACTCAAAATGATCTCCAGAAGAAGCACCATTACATGATGGTAAGAACTCCGGTTTGCAGCCACTGTACTCGTCGGTTGGATCGAGAATTGAATACCCAATCGGGCATTTACAGGATGGTCTTTGATCCTCGTTAAGCGTGCAGATGCTATTATGCCCGCATGGTCCGGTGCCCAAATCTCCATGAACAGCAACACAAATGTCGTTCGGTATGGCCTTTATTTGGTTCCAGGTTGCATTTGCGGAGGATGAACTTTTCAAATGACAACTCAATGTCAAGACTCCATCAAAATTGAGAGTCGCTTTGTGGTAATACTCAGAAGCTGGAAAAGCCACTACATCTTTTGGTGATGAAATGTAAAACACGTCCCCGCTCTTCTTTAGCAAGTACAAGTAGCCCGACTTGTCGTATACTACTTGATGACCCGAATTTGATTTGTTTTGACTGTCGCGGGTGCCAGTAATATAGTAGGTATCGTAAGCTTCTCTGGTGGGCAAATTTACGGTGTTGAGAACTGCGCTGCCATCGGAGAGCATACGAAACTGGAACTGTCCCAATGAGAAGTCCTTTGGGCTGTTTCGAGAACAAAGCTGACCACCAATCCCTATTATTTGAGTAGGCAACAATGTGTCCTTGGGATTGCTAAAGCTCTCCCAAACAGTCTCAGAGTTTTCCGCGACAAGCACAAAGTTGCCGGTATCATTCATCACGCCATAAGCTACTTGAGCAGGGTTTGGGACAAGATCCGATCTCCATAGCTCTTTGTTGCCCTGAGGGTCCGTAAGGACGAGACCTTGGTCCGGAGTTAGCTCTAGTTTGGATTTTCTTGGTGCAGGGTTTTCCTCATTTGCGTACCAAACTATGTGGTCTTGCGTAGTTTGTAGTACCAAATGGTAAGTAAGAAATGATCATTGCCAAGTGGCTGAAACCCGAAGGCAAAATCTTCGGAAGGAGAAAGCCACAAGGCATTATCATCGCCTGCAGTGAGGGAACCACCCACTCTTATTGTGCCATTTCTTTGAGCAATGACAACAAAGAACGGCAATAAGAGAAGAAGAAAGAAGAATTCAGTAAGAAAGATAGCCATTATAAGAATGATGTGATTGGAGAATGGAAAAAACAAAATTTATAGTATTAGAATTGAAGAAAAAAATGGCAAAGTAGGTAGTCATATTGGAGCATTGCTTCCTCCCAATTTCAAAGTTCAATAATATAACGTATAGTATACAATGAATTGACTTTGAAATTTGAATTAAGATGTATTAATCAACTTTCGGTGGTCTTGCGTGTTGAAATTTGGACACTCCCTTAATGGGACGTAACCAATGGGTTATGTGCATCCCAGAAGAAAGAAAGACTTTGAAATAGTCTATGGACGACAATCAAGCCTTTAATTATTTGCCTTTTTCTGATTAATTATGCGTATTGGCTTATCAAACATGCAGGGAAAGAATTTGAAATTTGATATTGCTTGAAAGCCATGTGAGTTGAAAAAAAAAAAACATGCACTGTAACCCAACAAACAGTTAATCAAATTCCTCAAGCTGATCTGCAAATATGTTTTGATTATCTTTACACGGTAGCTTAAGACATCATTAAAATCAGATACAAACAACTTGAGAAAGAATTTGGAGCTTATGCTTATGTCCTTTCTCTTTCCTTATTCTATGTCCTCTTTAACATTTCCTAGATCTCTGTTGTGTTAGTGAAACCTTCATCCAAAAATTTAATACTATTATACGAACCTAATTATAGAGAGAAGCACAGAGGTCTACTACTCTGTTGTTTAACTTGATAAACCAATTAAGGGGCCAGCAGATTATTTTATGTTACCATCACTAACAGATATACAAGTCCATTTGAAAATAAATATTCATAATTAATAATATTATCTTATCCAAAGTAATTTTGTCAAATAACGGGAACTCTAAATCATCATCTACTATAGAACTATAGGAATTGA